TATCAACAAATGTGTGCCCTAGTTTGTGGGGGAGGGCATATAAAAGCAAGCAATGGCACCATATAGTTCAGCAGAGCATGAAAAGGAACATACACAAAGGGTAGCCATGTTTGTAATGACAATAGGGTTGGGTGGTTGTGACTGAGAGAAAAGATTGACATGGGTTTGATAAGACAGTATCTGGATCTGACTTTAAGCACATACTTAACAGCCCCCGGCAAAAACTACACAGAGACCCGCAGGCATTAGTAAGCACAGAGAGGCATACCACTCAGAGATGCAAAGTCAACAGCACTTAGCCATTCCAAACATGAAAATCAGTAATCAAACACAAATGAGAAAATGACTGCAAAGCAAATGTAATGCAATTGATCTGATTTCTATATTTGCACTGGCGTTCATAATTACACAGGCAAAGCAAAACATTTTTATAACAAGATTAGGAGCCTCTACACTGATGTCTATGTAGGCTAATCAAATTAATAATTTATGTATTTTTTTTCAAATCCTGATTCTGTTTTATTAAAATTTGAGAAAAGACTGAAACATGAACTGCAAAAGAAATGCAAGATCACTGCTTTTTATGTTCACAGAAGTATGAATTCACAGGATTGTATAAAATAAGACAGTGGCAGTAGCTCAGTCGGTAGAGCATTCGGCCACTGATCTGAAGGTTGGCGGTTTGAATCCTGCTCTCGACGTAAAAACATCACAGGTTGAGTGGTCAGATCAACTGACCCACAGGTTGGCTGGTGTGATTCCAGCTCCCACAGATGAATGCTGTCATTGAGTCCTTGGGTAAGACACTTAACCCACCTCGCCTACAGTGTTTGTGTACACTGGTGTGTGAATGGGTGAGTAGTTCCTTGTTGTAAAGCGCCTTGAGGATGGAAAAGCCAAGACAGAGCATATGTTACTGAAATGAATAGTCTTTACATTTAAAAATTACATTTTTATGCAACCGTACTTCTACATCTTATATCACTATATGTAGGCCTATCCAATCACGCCACAAGCTGCAAGAAAAGCTCATAAATAAAACGCTCAAGATATGGTCCATTCTGTACATCATGCTTTCTGTTGTATATTGTATGTGCAATATACAATACAAGTGCATAAACAGCAATTCATGGCATGCAAATTACAATATGTACGAGCTACAGTATATGTGGAACAGCAAGTTCACATCTCTAATAGTGAAGCATATTTCTATAAGCACTAGGCAGTGGCTCTCCCTCTTTGTAAGGGCTCCCATAAGAAAGGTGTCTGTAAAGCTTAACACACAAGAGTCCGCTAATCACCCTGAGGCTAGCTTGTTCTGTGCGCTTTAAAAACAATTACACCAGAGAGAAGCCAGAGAAAGCACACTGCTGCTGCTATCTGGAGCAGGGAGGGCAGGGAGAGGGGCAGGTTAAGATTAGGCTGTAGACCTAAAGTGTGCCCCCAAGTCAGAGTATTGAGGTGTCAGCGGTACTCAGAGAAACATGCTGGAAATAGAGAATGTTCTATATTGGTTTGTACAGCTGCAAGACTGATTTGATTTAACTGCAAATCGCAGGCGTGGTATGTAACATTCTAGTGGGGGGACTGCCACCTGCTTGTTTCATGGAGATGTTACTGCATTCCCTGGAATGATCTACAATATGTCATTTAGCTTTTGTCTTGTGAATTGTCTTAAAATGACTTTGAAAGACATGTATTCTTGCTGTGAGTGTAGTCCTGTGAGTGTAGTCCCCTCTCCACAGATCTGACTTGTAACTTGGCCTAGTGTTGTCACCTACTTATCACCAAGGAGAAAGTTTAATAATATCATAGTGGAACATTTGGCTAAGCAATACAATTTCTCTGGCAACAAAGCAGGACTTTTTAACATTTCAGTCTTTGCAATTTGAGAATCTTTCAAAATCCCTCAATCCTATTGTTTTGTATACTCGAGAAAATCCTAGAAAGTAGCAGGAAGAACATGAAGCCCCATATGAGTAATTAAAACAGATCTGAGGAGCGGCTGGACTATACACAGCACAGTGGGGAACAGTGGGGAACAGTGAAGAAGCTGACTCATCCCCTGCTGTCCCCCTCACACACCATCATCATCCTCAGTGATCAAACCTCAGGCCAGTTCTTAGTAACAGCCATGTCATCACTGCACATCCCCAAATCTGCTCCTCCGTCATCCGCCCTTTTGTAACTGTAATGCCCAGGGGTAAAAAAAAAAGGCAATATTTAGGCCACTGCTTCACATGAATGTGCTACTTGGGGTGGTATTCTATTTCATAATACAACAGGATGTGAAATATTGTTCCCAAGTAAGTAACGGAAGATTTTGTGACTTTTTCACATTGCTTTTTTCTGGATATAAGATTATATTATTATGATTATGTAAGCATAGGATTAAATTTGTGATTTAGTTTTTCAAAATTCACTTCAGAGAGTACATTTTAACACATCCAGGAGCATTAACTTTTGTGAGAAGATTGAAAATATTCTAAACGAATACAAGAATTACACGCATTTAAGATTATGTTTGTAGATGTCTAAATTTCAAGACTGAAGTTTTATTTTTATTTTTTGGAACTAACTTTGTGCGTTATCATGTTTTTTAAATTAATGGTTGGAACATTTCACCTATTTTTCATGTACTGATAAAAAATTCAAGTCCTCAAACATCAGTCTGATCCCTGGGGTTATGTTTACTGCCAATAACATCCTTTGTATAGCTCTTGGCTTGAAGTTCAATGACAACACAATTAAATCTAAGCATTCAAGACTGATTAATGCAGCGAAAATCACATGCAACAAACATGTGGACTGGTATTGTTCCTTTATATTTTAACCTGTGAGCCATGAGATAAAGGCTACGCTACCGAAGCATGGAGGTTTGGTTGAAAGTTCAGCCCAGAGCACATCATTGTTTGACAGGTAAAGTGAAGAGCCACCTAATGATCATTGGAACATGGTAGTATACGAGACTGCAGTTATAGGCGCACTGTTTGACGAAGGTGTTCCACAAAGGACAGCCTCCATGTTTGGTTGGAGAGGAGAGAGAAGAGAGATTAAAAGGTTGCAGGTTTGGTCCATGGGCTTGAAAAATATCCATCAATGGCTACTAGGGCTACAACTATTGACTGAATAATTGTGACTTAAAAGAGAACCTATTGTTGTATTTTGATAATAGAAATCATTATGTGGACTAGACTCTAAAGAGGCGGTCAAACTTGCCGTTATTTGGTTCTAAATTTGGCACATCTTAGTCCTGATGTGGACTTGGGTTCATCCTGTTCTAGACATTCTTAAAGTCTGGTCTAGTCCTGGTTTAGTTTCAGGTTTAGGCCCAATGTTGATGTGTGAACACACCCTAAAACACATATAAAATTCCTTTTTTACAGCAAGACAATGCAAAATGTCAAAAAAAACAACAACCATTACTGATCATCAAAAATAGACAGATATGCTATATGCTATGGTGTGTGTTGTAGAGAGGATATTTTGGAAAACTACTTACCAGGAACACAAATTAAATACACTATAGTTGCCATGAGTTATTTTATCCTTTTATACTCTTTATGACTTATTCATAGTCAAGCAACATTTAGCCTTCTTCTGTATCTTTTCAGCACTTATATTCTCTGCTATTGGCTTTGTGCCCCGGTCACATACAGCAGCAATAATAGACTGTGTTCTCATAGCATATAATTTCCATTCACATTAGGAGCTATTAACCCTGTTTTAATCTCCTATATGAGCTAGAGGTGCAATTTCATCACCAGAGTCATCCATTCACAGAACAGCTGGAGTACAGGGAGTCATGCTATTGTTATGCTTGAATTTCACTAAAGTCCGGAGCACTGATGTCTGCGCAAACTAGTGCATGCCATTTACAGGGACCAGAGAGGGTAAATTAAAGAATAACGACTTCTCTCATAAGGCATCCGCTTTACCAATAAAACAGCCAAGCATCCAGCCAGCAGGAAAATGATACGAGACCTTTACAGCTATTAGGAACACATGTGAAGACCTGTGTTAAACTGGCAATCAGTCACAACATATGCGCAAGCCACGACTAGTTTGTGTTCACTGAATAAATGTTGTAGTTAGGCTGCAAATTCTCACCCTGCGCGTTCTGGGGCTAAACGATGACATGCCATTAACGCAATTGCAGACGCGGCTGTTCGTCAAGGTGCACGGATGGGTTTATTGGACACTACATACCAGAGCTCCATGATGCAGCGTGACATTAAATGAAACGCAGTCATTCAAGTTAAAATAATTGCCACAGTTGTTAAAGCAATAAGAATCCCGTATGGAACTTATAGTAGCAAATTCTTAAGTGCTGTGTACTGTTTGTAATGCCATTACGCACGTTATTGTCATGGCTGAACACTACGCATTAGGAAATTCAACTTACAGTTTCAATGCAAAAAGTTGATAACTGACTAATTTTAAAAGCAAAGAAAAAGCTGCCACGGAGAAATGAATGAAATAATAATTTTAGGGATTTCACGTTTACCTTAGGAGCACAGTAAACCGACAGTCCAACAGTGGCGTTTTGGAGCAATGTGCACACTTTCGATGAAATAAGTCGCTGTTCTTATGGCCAAAGCAAGTCAGAGCAGGTCCGATAGGCAGTCACTGTGATGGTAAGGTCCCACACACCGTAGTATCCTCCAGCATCGCTCCGTCTGTGGGCTGCAGAGGCATCACTGGACGTATGAACCAGCGCTGCACATGAGCGGCGACAGGGAAAGTCAGACATGGAGTAGGCCGGTGCGGGCTGGATTCTTCTGTGAGCTGAGAGGCTGGAGGTACAGGTAGCTACACGTGATCATAGAAAAAATGCGAATGAGTTAAATGTGCCATCAAGCTACATAAATGTGCTACAAAATAGAACGAAGAGTAGCCATTAGTTTTTATACATTTTAACACAAAATTGCACCCCCGCGCTAAAACTGAATTTTTTAAGCAAAACGAATAACTTGCCAGATAGTGCTAAGCTAGGCACTCATCAGATAACGTCTTTTCGTTGTATTGTATTCCTTTGTTTTCCTCCAAAAGTGCACGTAAAATGCAGGCTAGTACTCGGGCTAATCTTTTCAAAAGCACTTGCCTGTAATCACGTCTCATTGCGCATGTCACACGCTGCGCATGGTGTCTCCATCGAAAGTGTGGAGGCATGTTTCCGAAGAAATATGTTTCAGTAAATATAATGGACAGTATTTTTTTTTTTAATCAGATAACGTGTTCATTTTACTATATCAGGCTATTTTAACCAACGTTAATAGAATACATATGGTAAGATACCCTGTTTTTCTTAAAATACTACCACAATAAAGAAAGAGTACTCTAATGCAATATGTTTACTGTAAGACCTATGCATTTTGTCTGTCGGGTATTTTAAACAATTATCAGTATCCATGTTAACAAAATATTAGTAAGTAAAGTAAAAGAGTTATCTGTGCTTTCAGCTGGCTGCAGCTGCAGAGCCCGTTGCTGCCTCTGCTTTTTGTGAAGTGTTCCTTTCAGACACAAGTTGTGCACCAGAGGGACAGCTGTGCAGCACATCAGCCTGAGTCTGTGTCACTCCACAGAAGTGAACTGATGAATGACTGGAGGGAGTCTGCTGGGAGCGAGCACTACCAGCACAGAACAGCCCTAGCTCTGAGCCTGCAGGGCAGCCCAGATCTAATAACAAAGCTGCATACTTCGGTAGAATAACCCTGGCAACCACAGCAGCACTACTGGCAACCAGTATGGTTAGTGGGGACTTTAAACAATCAGAGTTCTTGCGTACACAATCTTTTGAAAATGAATTCAGTCTGACAAAGACGGTTGGATGAGAGATTCAAAGGGAACATTTCGTGCATGATGATATGATAGGGGGATTTACTGTACCCACTAGCCTTTTCATCAAGCAGCAATCAACAATTTATTGGTGGCAGTCAGTCAATAAAGGCGTTCCCTGGAAGTGCCAGTGAAATCAATATTCCCCTGTGACACAGCACACAGGCCGCAGTGAGGGATGGATGGGAGGGGCAAAACTGAGCTGGAATGAGTTGCCACATTTGCACTGTATGCAAATACAATTGATTAGCTGTGCTGGCAGCAGAACATTAAAAATGACCTAAAACTAAATGAATTTGTCCTTCACTTTATGCATAGTGCTAATCCTAGCTGACAGATAGGCCTGTCACCATAAATACTATATTGACTTATTGTTCAATAAATGATGATATATTTTTATGGCGTCAATATTTATTGTGAGTACTTTGTATTACTGAGTTGAGCTGAAAATCACTAAATAACATCTACGACTCATTATACTCATTATTAACTTTTATTATATTTAGAATTGTTACAGGGGGTGATAATCTTGCTTTAGGGTTATTATGTCAGTATCATAAATTAGTTTCAATATTATCATTTATCCTCTATATTTTCTTAAGCGCTTCAAAATGTGTTATGGTGACAGGCCTACTGGCAGATGGGTTTGCTGGGTGGACTTTCCCTGTCAGTGCGATGCTCTGGTTTGTTTTGATCTGAGCTCGTGAGGGCTGCCTTTGCTTGAGGGATCACTTGGCTGTCGCACATAGCTGACCACAGTCAATATTTAGGACTTGTCCTCGGAGAAAGCAAGACAACAGTGATGGTGTCCATGGCATTATAGCACTGTGGAGTATGCAGCAAATTCATGATTGCTTTGTGAGCCAGTCTTCGCTAATGAAACTTGTGCTGCTTAGATTCCCCCAGGAGGCATTTGTGATCTTATTCATGTCACATTATGTTTCATGTACATCCATGACGCTGGACGGCACATCAAAGCCTATTATGTAGCTAGCCTGTGACAACATCTGTGGAGTGAGTACAGACATAGCATGTCAGACAAAAATCCTTTGGGGAAACTGAAAATTATATGAATTAAAAGGAACCATATTTCAGGTTTTGTTTGTAAATTTCAGAAACTTGGCCTAAGTATATCCCCAGATACAAGGTAAGCATGTTAAAATCAAATATAGTGCTTACTGATGACAATTTTAATACTGTTTATTTTTAATAACGAAAAAGTGGATATGATTTTTCCATGTACTGAGAAAAAACTTGTATGTGTTCTCTGTTTGTAGATTTAGGCACTGTGGCTATAGAGGTTCAGTTGTGATTGTAATAGTTTATCTGATAAAAAAAAAACGCGTTCTAACTCCCAATCCCTTCCATAAAGCTCCAGTCCATGGTTTAGCCCTGTTGGTGGCACAGCATGCAACAGCCAGCTATTTATCAATTATTCATACCGATGGAGATTCTTGCAAACATATGAAAGATGACACAGAGTGCAAAGTAACTATTAAAATATTTGTACGATGTATTTACTGTGAATCATAAATGAACTAAAGCCACTGTAGCTCTTATGATTCATATGATGTATAACTTGGCTCTGTAGCATGTAAACACCAGAGGCATGCTGTGGTTGGTTACATCACAATCTGTTTAATTAATAGGATTTAGGACACTGGCAGATGAAGTCTAATCAATGGGAATTATTAATCATTTTCCATCGTTAGCCATTCTGCTCATTGACAGCCCTGTACCTTTTAATGAGTGTGGTCAACTAAACCAAAACAACTTTCAGTCACAATAGTGGGTAAAGCAACCGATTCAAACAAGAGCTTGAAAAGTGTTGAAAATGAGACTATTTTGTTTGCAGGGTTTTATTAACATGTTATTTTGACTTTCATGACAGCAACACATTTCGACATTTTGGAATGGGATAAGTCAGACGATCCGCGCAGAGATCCATCAGAGAAGATTTGGTCCTTTCAAAAAGGAGGCTCTTAGAAAAATATCTGGAACTGAGGTACTCACAAAATCTGGACTTCAGACTATTCTTGACTTGTATGACACTTCCCAACTCCTACACTAATGATCAAGCAGCATATAAAAACAAAATTTTCTTATTTTTTGCCATTTTGATATAATAGTGTTGCTGTCCTTGTCATAAATCTCACAAAACGTAAAATGGCATGTGTTTTAGAGTCTTTATATTGCTTATGGACAAGTATTAATTTTAAAATATGTATTGATTTTCACAATTTAATAAGTCAGCAAAAACAAAACAAAAAAACTAAATTAAAGAACAATAAAGGGTTTAAAATTAATATTGCAGCCATATACAAGATGCAAAAATTAAAAGTTGTGCTGTAAATCTGAAAATAATAAAAATATTTTTAGATTACATACATCAACAGAATATTTGAAACTGAATGTTCTTCAAAATGGTTCTTACATTTTATAAAGAACTCAATGGTATCCAGAAACCTAAAACTTTCCTCAAAATCCTGATACAGCACTCCAGTCTCACGCAGCTGTGTGAAAACTGCTCTGTGCATGGGCGACTGTCTCTTCCCGCCCTCCATTTTGGATCGATGAACTTGCCCGTGGGGACATGTGCAAACCTTTGATCCTCTTTTGAAGACCTTATCACTTTTTCACTTGATCCAATTCACACAGTTTTGTCTTGAATGAATCATGAATAATTATATGGAAAAGCCGTTATCTGCAGCTTCTCATGATGACTTGTTCGAAACACAATGGTTTTACTTTGACTGTAATTATAATTGGCCAAGCTTTCTAAGAATGTCCTACAAGGCAATACAATTGAACTCATTCCTGTTTAGTTGTATATTTATAATAGGTTGTGTTCATGTGCTTGGATTTGATGTTATCGTAATGTCAGATGGAGGGCAAGAGCCATTATAACTCTATGGGAGATTTACTGTTTTGAAAAAATATTTAAACTTGTGATCCAAAAAACATAAACTTTATACATTATTCGTTAGGGATTGGCTCCACAAACTTGCCATATTAAAGATCTACTATGTAACTTTTTGTTTTGGGATCTGTCACCTGGTAAATCAAGATTTACCGGTCAGTCTACGTTCCTACCTATGGTCATGAGCTCTGGGTAATGACCAAAAGGACAAGACCACGGATACAAGCGGTCAAAATGAGTTTCCACCGCAGGGTGGCTGGGCGCTCCCTTAGAGATGGGGTGAGGAGTTTGGTCACATGGGAGGAGCTCGGAGTAGAGCTGCTGCTCCTCCACGTCGAGAGGAGCCAGCTGAGGTGGCACGGGCATCTGTTCCGGAAGCACGCCTCCTGGGTTTTCCGGGCATGTCCCACCAGGAGGAGGCCTCAGGAAAGACCCAGGACACGCTGGAGGGACTATGTCTCTCGGTTGGCCTGGGAACGCCTCGGGGGTCCCCCCAGAGGAGCTGGAGGAAGTGTCTGGGGTGAGGAAAGTCTGGGAGTCCCTGCTTAGACAGCTGCCCCCACAACCCGGCAACAGATAAGCGGAAGAAAATGGATGGATGGATAGTCCATCACCTGCATGTTTCTATATAGATGTCACTGCTCTCCCTGAAATGTTCCACAGTATGACATTAAACAACTTTTCATACATTTATTAGATTCCAGGTGGTTTTATAGCTCAAAAATACCTTGAAAAACAGGCATTCTGACTGTGAGTGTGATTGCCTCTGCACAGATCTGACCTGTAATTTTGTCTGGTTTGGTCTCCATAAAGATACAAAGGTTTAACACCATACAGTGAAAAATTCCAGACAAAGCAATAACATCTCATTGGAGACAAGCATTTAACAGGCCCTCCACCAAAAAAATTACACAATGCACCTTTAATCTTATGGCTTGAAGTACTTTTGACTATCACTTAGGCTACATATTTGGGATTCAACAATGACACCACTTTCTGAAGGAACAGAGGAAAAAAAATGATTTCACTTCAGTTTATTTCTGCGAAGAAACAAAAAACGTGTGCCAGTTTTCTTTCATGTGGATAAGCCTAGTAATTACAGATATATTTGACATACATCAGGACAAGAAACCTGGGATGTCTCATAGCATCACATAACCCCCTGCTAATCTAACTAATTTCTGTTTACATAGGAGGATCTTTTTAACCAGGCAATCCCATGTAAAAGTTAATGAGGTGATGCTAACAAATGGGTAAAGCTGTTCTCCTGGGACCTTGTAGTATGTTATCTCTTTCTTCAGCAGCCAACCAAACAGTAGTAGAAGCACTAAGAATAGAAATAGCAATGAAGGTGAATAATTTAAACACAGGGGGTGGAATACACAAGTTAATTTCTCACAACCGCTGAGAAAAGTGGAAGTTGAAAGTGCAAATGACATCTGTTCATATGTCTCTAATTATTATTGGGTTTGCTGAGATACCTGTGGTAAATATTTATCAGTGTTACTCCATTTAGTTGTACTTGCACAAAAGTAAATAAAAGAAAACAGGAAGTAGCACTGAGTTATGAAAGGTAATATTTCTAACTATGCTGTTTTAACTGGTTTACAGTGATGGGAATATTACTTTGAAAATGTAGTTACATAATACCGATTACCTGCATTAAAAAGCAAAATGCAACTGACATGAACTGATAAACTAATACAAGAATCACATTTCACAACATGTTTGTATAGACTGAAACTACAGGGTTAGCAGTTTTTATACTGTATAGTATAGTATAGTATAAGACAGGATATTTTGTTTGTGGAGGAAATTATGGAACTTTAGTAATTTCAGGTTTTGTGATGTGATAATTGCTTCTAGTTAATTTGGGATTTTGACTCAATTGCAATCAATCTTGCAGTCATAGAATCCATTCCTGTCCATCTTGGGACTGAAACAGAGGGCTGCATATAGCTTACCTCTCCTTGCTCATTTCAAATACATTTGTTTGAGAAGAGTGTACCACTGAATTTAAATTGCACTATAAAAGTGCAGTTCTGGGCTTACCAAAACTTTGTCCCATTTATTTCCCCTTTCCTGCTGCGAGAGTTGTATTTTTCACACCTCCTTAAACTTTACAAAAGAAATTCTCAAAGCTCCATAAAATATTGAAAAGACAACGTTAGAAAGTGTACTGTGTTTTTTTTTATTTAACACATTGGGTACGCAGTTGTTGTTTTTTTTTTTCCGCAATTTCACTTACATATTTATTATTTGAAATCACTGATGGTTTTGAGTAGTTCATTGTGTTTCATTGTTGTTAACAGGTAAAATACAGAAAACAAATGCTGTGTTTGGGGTTATTTCTCAAGATAAAATGTAAGAAGCATTCAAGGTATGAAGCTGTTGTTCACAGACTAAAATGTGATACCTAGCCTTGACAGTTTAGACAATATTGTTTTGTGCTTTTATGAAAGCACTGGCAATCCAGAAG